TGTTTTGTCGTCTTGGAACTTGTGATATTTGTATGTTTGTTACTTGCGCGACACGGTTACGAACTGTGGAGTAGGGGAGGTAAACAGTATGTCAACATCATCATCAGATTCGTTATTCATTTCATGAGTACTCTTATGATAGTTCAGTTTGTGAGTTTTATTCATCTCCTAAAGCAGAGATTTCGCTGTGTCAACAGGCAATTGTCCTTTCTTGGAGGCATCAAAGATCAAGAACGTGGTCTGGAGATTGTTAAAATGGGCTTCACCCACCACAGATTTGGTGTCCCCGTGTCTCAGAACGCAGTTGTAGTGCCACATGCGGATGATATACAGAGTTCTAAGTCTCAGGAACAAGGATCTGTCGCTACGTCAATCTTCATTTCTGATACGGAAACTGGGAACCTTCCATCAACCTCGTCGTCGTCGAAGTTCAGATCACCGTGTCGTCCGCACGACGTGGATACTATTCACACTCTGAGATGTATTCACACCATTCTGTTCGACATAGGTGGCTTGGTAAACTCTGTCTACGGAATTCAGTTGCTACTGGCTATGGCGTATATATTTATGTCTGTCGTGAAATACTTCCATGTGGTAATGATTTCGCAGCAAGATCAACTAAGTTCTTTTCGTGTGAATGGAATTGTGCCACTCATGTGTGTTGTGTCCATCCACATTGCAAATGTTCTCTGGGTAACTGCTTCGTGTAACTCTGCGTGTTTTGAGGCCTGTCGTACCACGACTCTGGTCAACAAATTTTTACTCGTGCAACCGTTGACTTCTGACATTTCGGCTGAATTGGAACATTTTTCTCAACAGTTACTGCATTCGAAACTGCAGTTTACAGCGTTTGGATTTTTCAATCTTGATTTTACATTTCTTTATGGATTTGTTGGGGGTGCAACCACATATATTGTCATTCTACTACAGTTTCAGTAATTTCTTTAACTGGAAGGCTTTGTGTCAGTTACTGCTTTATATGATTATATTTCATTCTCACCGAGTTTCCCCATCCTTTTGTTTACCTGCATGAATTAAATTCCCTAACAGTTAAACTAATGTGAGTTTACTTTTGTAAAATAGAATAGAATCCCACCTACCGTTAAAATTTTTAATGATGTCGTGTGTCTCACAGATCAGTGCCATTTAGCGTGACTTCTCTCGTATGTCAGGAATGGATGAGCGCATATTGTGATAAACATAAACAAAATAAAACGAAAATATTGCTGTAATTTAATTATTGTAATGTTATTAATTTGAAGGCTCATCAGGCGAGCACAGTTCATTAAATAATGTCTTGCAATTCGCTAGATTTACACTTATTAACAAAACTGGGAGAAACTTTATGAATAACTCTGTCTACGTTCTTTAACAAGCTGTTATGCACATACTATGAGAACCAGTTTAATCAAAAGGAGTGGGCACAGAGTATCTAGCTGTTTCTACGAGTAAATTGTCACTCAAGATTTTCAAGTCTCTTGCGTCAGGGTTTTAAATCTGACATGCAGCGTTAAATTTTAAAATGGAATTCCTACATACCACTTCATAATTAGGAGCTTTATAAACTGTAATATTCACAAAAGTTATTCGAGTGTTTAAATTAAATGATATGTATTGGACATGTAGCAGTCATTATAAAGACAAGAAATGCACACAAAATTTTATGGGAGAACCAGAAGTGAGGATGAAACGGAGATCCAGGTGTAAATTGGAATATACTATTAAAATGGATCGTAGAGAAATAGGGTACGAGCATGTGGTCTGATTTCCTCTGGATCAGTATAGGATGTAATGTGGGACACTTATGAACGCGATAATAAAACTTTGGATTCTACAAAACTTGAAGAATTAACGACGTGTAGTGTGGTAGAAGTTGAGTTATCGCCTTAATAATGGAGGCTGATAGGACCTCTGAATCGTTAGTAAGCTTCTACCAAACTACACGGCTCTACAACCCACAACACTCACCACCGTGAAAACCCCAAATCCTACTGTTTGGAGAATTCATGACTGGGCGTGCGACAATTAGTTTCAGGAGAAAAACTCATTTCAGTGGTATATCGTTTTTTCCCCGGACTTAAAAACGTAGGAGTGTGAAATTGGCAACACACTTCTTTTTATTTCAGAGGAAAGGAATGGTGAAGTTTTAATTCCGTTTCCCCCGTATACCTGCATTTTACTGGCACAATACTTGGGCATATGGACATAATTTCCATTCTATTACGTGGGATTAATGACATGTCAAAACGTAACAAGATAGTCTTATGACTGTTTTTGTTGTTGTTGTTGTTCAAAGTGATTATTTTCGTGTAACTTACGTCACGGACATCTTCGGGGATTTATCCTCATAAACGTTTATAAAATATGCGATTAGATTTTATAAGATTCGCTGAAGGCATTTTTATGGTTGTTAACATTACCGATTTAAGAATAATTTTTCTTACTTCACTTGTTTGTATATTTTTGTTCGATTACATTTTGTGTGCCTTTTGTATATTGTGTTCCTTACCTATGATAATTAAAGTAGTAGTTTTATAAATGATATATCAAACATGGCGTCAGATAAAATATCGTATTCTTTAATTTTCAGTACCTTTACTCCTGAAATCTGTGCTCTGAAGTTCAGAGTTCATGCATGTCTGTAAATGATGTACGTTAAACTAATAATATTACCGATATTATGTACCATTTAAAACGAAACTCAACAACAGTCACATGAAAAAAATAAATTAGAATCAGGTTGAACCGCATGGAATTTACGCTCGAGTTAAGGTCACCCTGGTTACTAGGCCGCTACTCATGTTAGTTGATCAAAGGCAGTTAAGAATGTCGTGGACTGACGAGCAGAACGTGCGTTCATTCTTAAACTTCGTTCCAAAATCGTTTTCTGCTGTTCGTGGAGAGGCATATCCTGACAAGGACGCGTCGAATAAGACAGTGGTACACAGACTTGTAACAGAACTTTGGGACACAGGAATTGCTTGCGACAGGAAACATATCCGGCATCGGACAGTGTTGAAGGGTGAGGGAGGACGTGTTGGTTTCAACTTGGTAGGGTGACTGCTCAGATTGCGAACAAAACTGCTCTGCTGTAAATGTCTTTGGTTAGTGCACTGTTGGGCGTGATCTTTGGACACCGCGATCTCCTGACTTTCCCCGCTAGAATTATTTATGTTGGATTTATTGATTATAGACTTTATTAAAATAACCGACAGAGTATTAAGACACTATCGAAATACTGAAACACAATACCGAAAAACTGTTGCCAATATTGGACCAGAAACATTTTGCAAAATCGCACGAAAAGTATTGAAAAGGGCTAATGCTCGTCTTCTAGAAGGCAGCGAACATTTTCAACATTTGCTGTAAATTTGTCACGTTAGTTATTCCTAACAAACAACAACAGAAACTCAATTTGTTATGTCATTTTCAACTCATCAAAGCTTAAAATTCTGTTGTATTTTGGATTAAGTTTTATGTGGAATATTCTGTACTTCACGTTCAGCGTTTCAGGGGTTTATGAGGGCAATAATACATTAGTGAAATCGTCGTAATAGCAACTGTGAGATGTGTTGGCAGGCTTTTGAAGCACACTGCGATCTATCCATACAGAATTCTAGAAATCAGGAAAAGAGACTGCGCTCCAGACTCTTTCCGTCATGTATCTTCATGCTTCGGTGGATTGTTTCCACTTTAACAGAACCTATAAATTCCGTTGTAGAAGAAAAGTTTGAAAATATCTCTGTTTTGACGCAGACATTTACAAAAACTCCTTTCCGCCTTGTATTCATCTTCTTTAAGTTGTTGTTTTTCTTTATGGATTTACCGTCTTAAACTTTCAAATATGTTATATTTTTCATTCAGCCTCATACCCACGAATCCGTGAAAGGCAGAAAATCTGCTGTCTTCTGCATATTTGCGTCTGTGTTTCTTCATTTTTCACATCAGAAATTCCCAAAGCCGTCGTGTGGGCACCAGATTCCGTACAGATCTGTGTATTGCTTCAAAATGTGTATAGGCTACGCATATGCACATACATTTCGATTATGCTGTAAAATAACTCGTAAAGGGGGAGAAATACATACAGAATTATGGTTCTAAACCTGATTGGAAGAGATCACTTGGAAGATGTAATCGATGGGAGGATAATACTGAGATGGATCTGACATGAATAGGGTCGTAGGTTGTGGATCGTATTCATATATCTCAAGATGATGGGCTCTTATGAACACGGTTCTATTAAAGGCGGTTAATTTCTTGACAAGCTGATAAACTATTAGATCCTCAAGGACTCTGTTTCATGGAGTTAGATAATATGGGAATATTTAATTTAAAATTTAATTGTCGGTTTAGTGTCATAATCTGGTGTTTAACAGACAGTGATATTACATTTTTACAATGTTTATATGTTGTTAGGACTTTAGGTAAGACATATTATACAAAACTTTCTTTTGTTTAATTTATTTTGGTTGCTTAAGATGTGTTAGATTGGGTTATATCTCGTTAGGTTGGTGATGTGCATTCGCAGAATACCATGCGATGATTAGTGGCTATGTATATATATATATATAATCATTAAATAACACCGACAAACTGCAGTAATAATAAATAATAGCAATAATGGTAACTTAGATTACAATTTGTGTCCCGTAACCATACAGCTCAGAAGGAATACTGTCATCTCTTGTAGGACATTTGCACCTCTGATATTAGAAATTGTGGGGATTTGAGTTTTGGACCATTCTTAGAAGTTGCACATTCCATTTTCCCCTTTTGTTCTTTTATTATGTGTTTGGGGCTAAACGTTTTCAGTTCTCATCGTGTTGTGTTGTTACGTAAGAAGTATAGGATTTGAGACTTTCGCGGCGATTACAATCAATAAAATCTTCTCGGGCAATCAGCCGCTTTAGCTGGTTACCGTAGTAAACCGACGGTAACCAGCTAACGCGGCTGATTGCCCGAGAAGATTTTATTGACGTAAGAACTAATTTCACTTTCAGAACAACTAAGTGCCGAACCGGAGATGTCCTGTGCATGACCAAAAGACCTTATGTTCAGGAACAGGTACTAACAATTTTACAATTTATGGTTGAATGTTTCTTTTGTCAGCTCTAATTCAAGCTGGTTAAATAGTGAAAGTGGTGATTACGTAACGAAGAAGAATAGAACATTCATTACCAGATCTACTTGTAGGGGGGAGACGACGATACGAATAATCGAGCTGTTGTTACCATCAAACATATCAGCTGGAGTAATACATATGTATTTGCATACTGCTTATGACACGCTAAATGCCGTAGCATAATAAAGAGAGAGTTCTTTCTAACCGTGTTAAACCAGTTAACACTTTGAAGGAACGAAAAAAAAAATTAAATGTCGGTCGTACGTTTGTGGTTCAATGGTAGTGCATACGCTGGAACATAGCAGACTGGTCAGATAAAATACATTGTTTGCCGGCTGCAACCGGACAGACTTTTGCAACAAGCGTAAGCCTGAAGCCTTAATTTAAATTGTAATATGCATTTTACCAACTTTTGAAATAATAATATGAATGAAGATGGCGTGAATACCCCGAAACATGTGGGCTGAGTACATAATAATTTGTTTTATACAGTTGTAAATTGAATGCTGTATGTTTATGGTTGTTTTAAATATAACTGATTAAATACATTGAACAATGATGAATCCATAAATTAAAATCATGCCTACTGAATTACAATAGAGCGTTTGTACGACTAAAGGCCGGTCATGTACTTAAATTTGAACCTCAGCTCGGAACGTAGGCTAGTAAACAGTATACAGGAACATTGCAGTATGTATATTTTCAGATATATGCATTATTAAAGATTTTATTAGGCGATTTATTTGAGGAGATATGCTGGATAAGTAGAGTCTGTGGAAATATTAGAATATATTATTGAATTCAAGCTATAATTTTGTTTCAAATGATGGTGATAACTAGTGAACTGATGTTCCTTAACGTGTCAGCAAAACTATTCGGAAATTTTATATTTCTGTTATGCAGAACCCATTTATATGTAGGCCTGTATGTCGAAATGCTTGTTACCTGTTTTGAATGAATACAGTTACAAATAAATTAATTATCAAATTATAGCTTTAGGGATGTTTAATATCAGATATCAATGCCATTATACTAATTTGATGTAGGGATATGCAAAATACCGTATTTACTAGATTTTAAGTCGCCACTAATTGTAAGCCGCAACCTTGATTTAGTAATAGGTTTTCAGGAAAAAACTATGATATATCGATTCTTAGACGCCATAAAATGTGAGACGTAAACCGAATTCAGAAAAAAGTGAAAAAATGCATCTTAAAATCGAGAAAATACGTATATAATTAGAAGCATTATGAAAAATTTACTTTTGATAAATTTTGTATATGAATGTCATCGAGTGTTTCTCAAGAAGAATATTGAGATTTAAATTAAGTAGATATATTTACATTTGTATTCATTAATCCGAAGTACATACACGAATATGTGAATATAAGGAAGAAATGATATGCGTGCGTTGTAGATTACTTGTCTCACTCAGACCCAGTTACATTTGCGTGTGGAAGACCGAAAATCTGTCAGTGGCGTGAGCGAACAACACTGGGACCTGCTATATATTTTTTCCTCTGGCCTTATTGAGGGTTTCACACATAATCTTCGGAAAAGATTCCTATACATAACTGCTGTAGTAGTGGACATGGTGGTGATGAATATTATTGTTTTGTTGGCCTATTTAAAATAATTACTATTGTTTGGATTCAGAGTCTTACTTCGAATGAAGAATATTATTTATAAATTTATAATTTCATAAATGATAATTTATAGGCAATTTACAAATCCCATAAAATTACACATTCGAACCAACAGATACTACTACTCCTGTAAACAAACCTACCTTTGTGCTGTCACTACTAATACTTGACGAAGTTTGGTGCAGAACCATTTATGTATTTTGGCGTATTAATTTTGTTCGTGCTGAAAACTGTTAATCATATGTATGAATGGTAAATAAAAAGCAGATGTTGTTTCAATTCTGTACATGTTTATAATTTTGGATGTAATTGCATCTAGTGTTTACCATGAAATTTGAATTAGTTTGAAAATAACTCCAAAATTCCAGATGCGGATTGACTTTAATTATAAAAGCATTTAGGCAGTATTTTTGTTTCATTGTTAACCAATTCAGATTCCATTAGTTTTGATTAACGTGTTTTCTGCCAGATGTCACGAAGTCAAGCAAAAACCATAAGAAGAATTGCGTGGTCCTAAAATTCACCGCATTCCATTAGTAGTAAAAGTAAGCACATAATTTTGTGTAGAAGAATAAGCAGTATTTTAAATTAGTAATATGGCAAGTTTCTGTACGTTTATAATGTATCAATTTTTTTTAGAATCACATAATTAATAACTTCCCAGACATTGATTATGCCTTTAAAATATGATGTTCATAAGCAAAATCGATCTGAAAAAATAGTCGATGTCCTGGTTTTCGTGTCGTGTGTTCCATATAGGACAGAAGCTGATTCCTGGTTCATCGTCCTTCCATAGCCAGTGAATAGTCTGCCTGGGTTGGGGGGACAGGGGCACAATATTTCTACATGTTTTCCATAACAGTGGCATACCGAAATTTACATTATAAAGGTCTTAATATTTAAAGGCTTGCCAGTTATTATTTACATCAAAATATGAAGGTAACTGATGTTTGTATCACCTGTCTGATAGCCTAACATCCGATTTATATTAGCATAAAGTTAAATTAATTAATAAAAATAAAATAACAGGTCAAGAAACAGTGGACGTCTTTGTAGCCAGCTTTGCCCATCCCGCGAGCTCATCTGTATAACAGAGAAGATAATTGTGGTACAAACAGGCGCGAATCGATTAGAGTGTTTGCACAGTTGTGGTATATGTGTTTGCTTTGATGTGGATCCACCTCACAATCAGCATCAATTAAACGACTCGATGGATGTGCTTTGTTCGTGCAAGGTGCGCCGGATGTCAAAGCGGGGATCATCACATTCCATTTATTGCTTTCGGATGGACAGTTACCTCGTGTGTGTTTGTGGCTATAACGTGGATATTATCGAGTTTCATCGATACAGGCATCAGCATGATTAAAAATTAAGTAGTGTAGGATTGATCACGTTTCAATAAAACACACCGAGTGCGCTTGTTGTATGCATATATTAAAACTAACTGAACTAACCCCATGGAGCAGAACCTTTGTTTAGAAGCTGATAGTCGCTTAGCTGAGAGAGAATTCCCTGCCTTTTTGTAAGCCGGAAGTTCATTAGATCTACCAACCTCAATGCTTGATCTGAAAACCTGCTAGACCCAGAAGTCGATAAGTTGAGTCATAGCGTGTACCGGAGTTCTGACACAGTTGTTTTGAAATATGTTTAATATCTCTATCATTTATGCTGACGCAAACGCGCAGACGTTTCGGCTGCTTGTCTTTCAAGTGACCCAACAGATAAAAGTCGAGATGTGTAAATTTGGGGGATCGTGGAGGACATTCCACTGGCCACTTCCATACGTCCGCGTCGACTAGGTGTTATCTCTTACAGATGCTTAAAAGAGAATACGTAGACTTGCATTGCCTGTGGTTCCAGATTTGTGGAACTTGTAAATCGTAGTGCCTCGTACATAACAATATCGGCCTCTGGTGGACACGTGATCCTCCGTGTTATAGAACGTGCAGGAATTTCTTGACCAGCAGAGCTGCCGTTGGGTCCTCAACAAGGTTCTTCTTGGTGTTATGTTTTCGTTAGGGACGTACAGAAGCCGGGGCAATACCGCGCGTTTCACATATTTTAAAGGTAGAAGTAAAACGAGCCACAAAGAACTGCCGCCGAGAAAAGCTGTCTTTAGCATATCTGCCCCCCTCTCGCCCCCCACTGATCGTTTTTGCCGTTTAGTTCTAACGGACGACGAAAGTACAGATTTGTCCCTACTACTGTTCAATCGGAGCTTGGTTTTTGGTAGCCTAGTTTGGATTACCAGTAGATTGCAGCAAATAACGTTCGGAAATGACATTTTGCTCGACCAAATTTTCAATATTCTGTGGGCATGCTATGCGTAATACAGCAGCAACTCTGAAATCAGTTTCCTGTTCCCTGCGTTACGAAGATTTATTTTGTGTCGTTACAAAATGGAGCAAGACGTTCAGATTACCTACCAGAATCTCATTTTGTGGGGTGGAATGAAAAGATGACGAGGAAAAAGGTAAAACATTTTCCACCCATAACAGAATTTCAGTGTACGCTTTAAGCTCAAAGCTATGCAGCTTAAAGAAAGGAACTATGAATATATATGTTGAATGGCAGGAGGGGGGAAGGCGGTGAAAACCAATCTGACCGCCGACTGGGTTCAAAGTCTTTGGTATTAAGCAACCCCCCCCCCCCAAATAAAAAGAGAGAGCTAGGTAGTAAACCCCAAGATCTAAATAGAGTTTGATAATGTGTAACGAAATTTCTGTTAGCAACAAAGGCAACTTTTCTTCCACTTTCTACACAAATAGTTTTTAACAAGACTTAGAGGCCTAGACGTAGATGGGATGACAGTATTAAGGGGGATCATAAGGAATTGTTGTGTGAATATAAATTTACCTGGGTCAGAATTTTCCCCATTGATTGATCTGGAAACATAAATGAATCTCTGGTTTCGTAAAAGACAGGGAATTTCTTGACGAGCTGGTTGACTGTTAGATTCTCAAGAAGGAAGCTGTTCCGTGGAGTGAACACAATGTTCATGAAGGAACTTGCGGAGTCTACTGTGTGTCAATGTCTGAATATTTATAATGAGACCAACAATAACAATAAATGAATAGTTGTACTACTTGGTGAATTATATCAGCACGCAAATACTGGTTCCAATTAACATTAATTTTTCCAGATGTAGCATAAGAATTTCCGCCGGTGTGAGGCAGAACGTAAGTTGTGTGGGTGGTGTTGTACCGTCCCCACTTAATCGTCGGTTTATGTTTCTCTTTAATTATGAGCCAGACACAAGGAGCATGAGAACTTGATAACCTTCGTTGTTTCCATAAACTAATGTCTCGTATCGTTCCGACCCTTTTATTAGTGATATAACACGAACGCTGCCCTATCATTTTAACCTTTACACTTTGTTCTTACCACCCTTGTCTGCGATTTACGTCTTCCCCAACCCATTTGCTATCATAATTCTTCCATACTCTTAAATTAATTTCCTCACACTA